ATTTCAGGGGTTTTTTTTTTTTGCATTTATTAAAGCAGGTTCTATGAGCTAGTATGTGGTCTGTTTTGGAAAATGTCCCATGTGCTGCTGAGTAGAATGTATATTCTGTTTTTGTTGGGTAAAATTTTGTTCAAAGGCATGGTTAAGTTCTGATATTTCTCTGTTGACTTTTTGTCTAGTTGAACTATTTGTGACATTGGGCTGTTGAGGTCCCCCATTACAATTGTATTAGTGCATATCTGATTTTTCATATCTATTAGTGTTTGTTTTATATAGTTGGATATGCCAGTATTTGGTGCATGTATATTTATGATTGCTATCACTTCCTCTTGGAATGATTCTCTTAACAAGCGTATTCTCTCTTCTGATCAGTCTTTGCTTAAAATCCTCTTTGTCTGCAAATAGAAGAGCTACTCCTGCTTTTTTCTGGGGTCCTGTTGCATAGAGTATTGTTTTCTATCCTTTGACTTTCAGTCAGTGAATTTCTTTTGGGGTTAATGAGTTTCTTCTATACAAAATGTTATTGGATCTTGTCTCTTGATCCATTCTTCCAGTCTGTTTCTTTTAATTGGTTAATTGAGACCATCACATTGATGGTTAAAACTGATGCGTCTTGACTTATCTTGTATTATTTTCCTGTTTGTTTCCCTTTTCCCCCTCTATTTAATTGCCTGCTTACCTGGTAGATTTCATGTTTTGGGGATTCTTGGAATTGTTGTCTTTGTTGTATCTTTCTGTAATATCCTTTAAAACTTTTTGGAGTGCTGGTTTGCTTGATAAGTCACTAAATTGATGAGACCTGGCTCAGACTTGTGTTCTTCCCGCCTTAGCCTCACAAAGTGCTGGAATTATAGGCATGTGCCCCCTCCAGGGGGGGCTTTATAATTGTTTCTAATGTTCTTGTGTACTAAATTTATCACCTTTTAAATTTTTTGAGATATTTCAATTGATTGATTTGTTTGTTTGTTTTATTTTTAAATGCATTTCTGACAATCTTTGATTGGATGCCAGACATGACTATTACATTAGTTGTTGCTGGATATTTTTGTATTCATAAAAATATTCTAGAATTTTGTTCCAGGACACAGTTAAGTTTCTTGGAAACAGTTTGGCCTTTTAATGTCTTGCTTTCAAACTTTGATAGTGTTTTGTTCTACTACTGCAAAAAATTCTTATGAGTTTTCCACTCCATACTTTCAAATTTATGAAGTTTTCCACTCTGGCTGGTGAAAATAGGTATTCTCTTTTCTGTAAGCCCCTGGGAAGCTCCTTCAAATCCTTTCAAGTTGCTCCTTCCCTAGCCTTAAATGCTTTCTTTGTTCTCACAGAGCAATCAGTACTCTGCCGAATTCTGGAGAGTAACTCCTACAGATCTTGAGTTTATGTAGCTGTGTTCTTCAGTACTCCGCCTTGCATACTAGCTGCTTTGTCCTTCTCGGATTTAAAATTTCATGTTCCCTTAGGAAGACCACCAATTTCTACCTGGGTTCTTCTTCTTTGTGCCACATCATTGAAACTCTTTGGCAATGATCTGAGGTAACCACAGGCTTCATCTCATTTTCTTTCCATCTGTTAGTGATTACTAGCTTCTGTTGAATGATGCCTAATGTTTTGAGAATCATTGTTTCATATGTTTTATCATTAGACCAGGAGGATGGTAAATCTGATCACTTTTACTTTATCTGTACTAGAAGTGGAAGTACTCTAGTTTTGATATAATAGTACATGTGGATTTTTGTAGGAGCAGACTTAAGAGATGAAGTAGGGACTTGTAAGAGAGGTTCAGGGTTGCTATGAGGATTTAATGAATTAACCTGTCTAAAGATGTTAGAATTTGATACCTGACAAGATATGTTATCTTTTCTAATAAATTTTATTAATAATGAACTTTAAAATCCTGATAGTTAAGTATTAGCCCCATTTTCATGATGGTATATCTTTAGGGACCACCTTTGGCTGTTTGTAACAGATCATAATTAGGCTTCTTAACAAAATTAAAATATATTCCCATTCATTCCACCCTCCCCACCTCTCTCTGTAATAAATCAAACTCCAAAAGCCATCTAACTAGGAATGTAGTCTCCTTAATCTTTTCATGTAACTATCTAATACAGAATTTTATGTATGTCATCTACTGCCTTTTCATCTGTGGTGATTAATCAGAGCTCAGCCAGGAAGAATGGAAGGGGCAAAACCATTGTGCTAAGTGAGTCAGTTCCCTCTTAAACATCTTTACAGGAGTACCTACTAGCAATATCTACTTAATTTTTCGTGGGTTAGAACTGCTGTGTGATTGCCCTCACTACCAAGGATGTGAGGGAATGTAATTTCTTTTAAAGTAAAATCTAGACATGTTACAACCACAAGCAAAATTGTGTTTCAATAGAGTGAAAGAATTCATTAAACATCATGGAGTATATTACTAGTTTTATCTCCTACAAATGGAAAAACTAAAATTCAGAAAGTAACTTCTCCAGATTATTATATTAAATGATAACCTTCATATTGTTATGAGTATGAGTCCACATTCCTTTTGCTGGGCAGTCCAGAAAGGCAGGGTGACATTTGAGTTGGACCTTTCATTGATGATAAGATATTCACGTCAGTGCGTAAAATTAAAAAACCAAATGGAGATAATTATGTTCCACATTTGGCTCTGTCCATAAATTCATTTTGGTGACAATTTAAGGTTCAATAAAGAAAAGAAGCTGAAAGAATGGTTAGAAAGATAATTAAAGTGCTTCTTAAAGGCCAGGCTAAAATTTTTTCATTTTGTCTTACATGTGTTAGAAGTCTTTTCTAAATGACTCATTAAAGGAGTCTATTGAATCAAAAAGTTTTCCTAAGATCTGGGTGAAAAAGCAAAGGTTCACAGGTTTCTGAAAATAGATATGAATAACAGAAGTGCCAAATTAATTCTATTGATCACCATAATTAAATTGGATGACAATTTTCAGGCTGTGACTGTAACTGTAGCATCCATGATTGTTTTTAAAAACTTTTAGAGTTTATATTTATATTCTATAAGGACAGTCTAAACTTTTAAAGGTAGACATTAATTTATTCAATAAAACAAATACGTTTCTTGCCCTTTTAGGGTTTATACTCCAGCAGGGGGAGACAAGCAATAAATGATAAACAGTAGATGTATTACTTGTACTTACACATATTATTATATGTTTATTATATATTTACATTAAATTGATACATGATATGGAACCAAAAATGAAGCAGAAGAGGGAAAGAGGATGTGGGAAGTTAGGTTGCAGTTTTAAGTAGAGCTAACGGAATGGGCCTCATTGAGAAGGCACATGTAAGTAAATTCTTGATGGGAATAAGAGAACCCTGATTATACCATGCAGAGCAATGTGGTCAGAGGAAATCACAAGATTGATAAAAGCCTGCTGTATATGAGGTCAGCAAGAAACTCATGTGGCTGAGTGGAATGAGCCAGTAAAAGAATATTGGAAGCAAAGTCAGAGAGGTAATAGGGACTCCAATCATGTAAGCTTTCACACACCACTAGAAGCTTTCGCTTGTATTCTGAGTGGAAACAAAAATCATGGCTGAGGTGTTTTTGGTATTGTTTGTTTTTCGAGAGAGGGTCTTGTAGCCCAGGCTGGCCTTGAACTCTCAGCAGTGCTCCTGCCTCAGTCTCCCAAGTGGCACATACCTGTAATCCCAGAACTCAGTAGGCTGAGGGAGGAGGATCACTGCAAGTTCAAGGCCAGCCTGAATTACATAGCAAGACCTTGTCTCAAAAATAAATAAATAAATAAATAAATAAAGTTTGGCCTTTAGTTGAGAAAACATTTTATGGTTCTTCTCCCTTTTCGAGAAGATAACTCTGGAATATGGGGGTAGTTGTCCTTTTTATTCATTTAAGTCATTGATGTGACTTTAAACATTTTCCCTTTTTTGTATTGATAGTATTTATTATATCATACTACAATTAGATGATTGGATAACTGTCCTGACACTGTTTGTCCCCATGGGTAGGATTAGGTCTTATTAATCTTTCTATAGCCAAAAGGTAAAACAATATCTTGCTTTCAATAAATTCTCAATCACTATTAATTATGAGTGGAGAAAAATATACAACCATATTGCACAGTCTTATGCATTTGATGCAGGTTTTTTTTTTTCCAATTACTGGGGATCAAACTCAGGACCTTACACTTTCAAGGCAGATGGCAGCACCACTGAGCTAAATCCCTAGCCCAGTCTTATTTGCAATTTATAAACATGAGCTTCAAATAAATTCTTAATCCATAAGGCGCTATTATACTTCCCTACTCTATTAACTCTCCTACTTTGCTAGGTACCTTCTGACACATTATCCTCTTTGACCTCCCAAGACCCCTCCTCTACACACACCTTTACTCTTAGCTAAGGAGCTTACTTTTTATTTCACAAGAAAACTGAAGCAGTCTGGGGATTTAGCTCAGTGGTTCCAGCGCCTGCCTTGCAAGCAGAAGGACCCGAGTCCAATCCCCAGTACCAAAAAAAAAAAAAAAAAAAAAAAAAAAAAAAAAAAAAAAAAAAAAAAAAAAACAACAAAAGAAGAAAAAAAAAATAAAACCCAAAAAAAAAAAAAAAAAAAAAAAAAAAAAAAGAAAGAAAAGAAAAAGAAAACTGAAACAATCATAAGAGGATTTCCACAGACCCTCACTTGTACTCACTGCTAGCATCTTTACCATGTAAATTGCATTTTCATGTCATGTATCCACACATGAAGTATCCATGCATCTATGCAAAGCCAAATCCTTTACCTGGGCACTGGATTCTTCCTTTTAGTTTTTTGTTTGTTTGTTTTTTGTACTGGGGATCGAACTCAGGTCCTTGCACTTGCAAGGCAGACACATGCCACTGAGCTAACTCCCTGGCCCAGGATTCCTCCTTTAAAAAAAAATATTCTCCAGCAATTCTGACCCCTCAACTACATTCCCATCCTATCAGTGTTGTTTTCATTTATTTTCTGTAAGGTCATTCTAAAATCTTAAATGTAGATGATAATTTATTTAGAAATATTTTTGAAACATCTATCACTGTGAAGTGCAGAGTAGTGAACAGTTTGGGATGGCAGAAGTATAGGATAGTATCATAGGAATGGCAGATTGTTTAGTCTGACAGGTCAGAAGACTGTGAAGGACTTCCAAACTCTTACCTCCCTCTATCCAACCATTTCAACAATTTTGCCCAGGTCCATTTGGGTCCCTTACTTTGAAACTAATCTTAAACCAGATGCCCTCAATACTTACAAATAATGTACCTCTGACTTCCAACTGTAAGACACTGCTAAGACTATCAAAGTGATATTTTTCTTCACTTCATAAAGCAAAAAATTCAACATATTGCTTTATCAATAGGTTATTTTGGTGATATATTAAGGGAGACAACATTTAATGATCTTGGATGTCCCATCAAATCTGATCAAGAGCTCCTAAGCCCTCAACTTGGAAACTTTTTCTAAGGTTCTTGAACCTCCTTCACGGGGTCTTTCCAATGACAATGGTGAGGTAAGTTCACATTGAGTTTGAGCTCTGATTTCCTATTTTTCATTGAACACTTGGGATGTTAAGTTTCATTTATGAATACTACCTAGGAATAAGAAACTCCTTACACAAAAAGAGAATAAAAAGTTGGTTTCCAGTGGTGGGAGTGGGCTAGGGGAAGGTGGAAAAATGTAAGGAAAAGCATATAAAATCACAGTTCTATACAATAAATAAATTTGGAAATCTAATCAACAGGAAGACTACAGTTAATAGTATTAGATGAGGTCAATTTGCCAAGAGAATAGATTTAGGCACTGTAACTGTACTAAAAATATTTTAAGTGAAATGAAAAAATTTTTAAAGCAAGGAAAGGAAAAAAGAAAGAAAATAATTATATGAGATGATGGGTATGTATGTTAACTTTCTTCACTGTTATGATCATTTCACTGTATATATCAAGATAATTATGTAAAAAACTTTTATATCTTAAGTATACACCATAAAAAAAGACCCCCTCTCAAAATCCATTGAGTAGTTGATCAGGTTTTGAAAAATTTGTTTTGACAAAAATCTTCATTATTGGGGCTGGGGATTTGGCTCAGTGGTTCTGCCCCTACCTTGCAAGCACAAGGTCCCAAGTTTGATCCCTGGTACCACAAAAAAACAAAAATCATTATTAACGAGGACACTACTGTTTATCTGTTCATTCTTGTCATTCCTTCATTGGGCATAGAGAAGAGGGTAGCTATAAGCAGATATTCAAGCGGTTTCTCTAAAAAGTGACATCTCATCAGAACTTTCTTCAGTCTTATTTAATTTTATCCATGATCCCCTATTTTTTATGGCAAGGTAGGCAGGTGGGGGGAGTCCCAAAGTACAACATGCCTGTTGCCAGACTAATGGATTTATCTTTAGTCTAAGTCTGTACTCTGTTTGGACTTTCTCCTGTATTTTATATGAATTTATACTAGAATCAAAATGTGCTATTTTAACTTTCTAAGTGATACTGGAATGACAATGGTTACTTTGGGGATTTTTTTTTTTTGCACCAAACTTGAACTCAGGACCTTGTGCTTGCGAGGCAGGTGGCAGAACCCCTGAGTTAAATCCCCAGCCCTCTTTAGGGAAATTTTGATAATGAACTTTGGGAGGCACCATGGAATAAAAAGAAGCAAAATGGTAAACATCCCACTGCCTACATTTTAGAACAGGCATTTCTTATGATTTTGTTGTTGTTGTTTTTGTTTGTTTTTATTTGTTTGCTTGGTACCAGAGATGGAACTTGGGGCCTTGTGCTTGCAAGGCAAGTGGCAGAACCACTGAGCTAAATCCCCTTTTGTCTACATTTTAGGCAACAGAAAACTTGCAAAATCTATTATGAAATTACCTCTGGAAGGTTCTTTGGGCAAGAGAAATGTGTGAACTATTAAAGCTGTTTCTACATCAGCCATGGGGTCAGGGATTTAGCTCAGTGGTGCCACTCCCTGCCTCAGAAGTGCAACGTCCTGAGTTCCATCTCTGGTACCAAAAAACAAACAAAATACATCAGCCAGAGCAATTAGACAAGGGAAGAGAAAGAAAGAAGGGATATAGATAAGAATGGAAGAAGTTAAATTATTATTTGCAGATGACATAATGCTCTATGTAGAGGAGCCCCAAAGCTCCATCAAAAGATTCCTAGAATTGATAACCAAACTCAGTAGCAGGATGCAAGATACAAAGTCAACTCTCAAAAATAAGTAGTGTTCCTGTATACCAATAATAAACTCACTGAGAGAGAAATTAGGAAAATAATTGCCTTCACAATAGCATCAAGAAAAATGAAATACTTAGCAATTAACTTAACCGAGGAAATGAAAGACCCCTACAATGAAAACTATAGTACTCTGAAAAAGGAGATTGAAGAGAATATCAGAAAATGGAAGGATATACCCTATTCCTGGGTAGGCAGAACCAATATAGTCAGAAAAGCCAAATTTCTAAAACTGTTACACAGTTTAATGCAATCCCACTAAAAATACCAATAGCATCCCTTACAGAACTAGAGAAAATTCCTATGGAACCAGGAGACCTAGGATAGCTAAAGCAATTTTGGTCAACAAGGGCAAGGCCAGAGGCATCACAGTCTCAGACTTCTATAAGGTCTGACTGAGGTACAATTGAGACCACTGAGACAGGCAGTCTAAGCAACATGTGATGAGTTTAGTGCCATCTGGGTGCAGATGGGCCAAGGGAGAGAAAGCTGTTAGCACTGAGAGGAGGGTAGATGTGGTTGATATGGGGCAGTTTAGGTAGGGGAGGGGGCACTGGTCAAAAGGGTAGAAAATTTTAAGAGTTCCAGGGGTGATGGGCCTAAGGATATCTGATAAACAGGGTGGTGGTGAGAGCAGCAGGGCAGCTGCTGCCTTCTTGTTATCTCTGTGCTCCTGTGGATGTGGGTAGCAGGTCTGCTTGGGCTAGAGGAGGGTGGTCTGGCTCAGGGACCTGTCAACTTCAAATTATACTACAAAGCTACAGTGATAAAAACAGCACAATACTAGCAAAACAAACTTGTGGATCAATGGAACAGAATAGAGGATGCAAAGGCAACTTCGGGCACACCAAGTTACCTCAACTTTGACAAATGGGCCAAATACTTTCCCTGGCAGAAAGATATCCTCTTTCACAAATGATGCTGGAAAAACTGGCCATATTTCTTTTCTTACACTGAATTGAAATAAAAATGGATCAAAGATCTAAATATTAACACAGAAACATTTGACTGCTGGCAGACAAAATAAGTAAAACTCTTGAAGACAGAGGTGTAGGGAGAGACTTTCTGAACAAAACTCCGGTTACAGAAGGAATAATACCAGGAATCCACAAATGAAATCACATTAAATAAAAAGCATCAACAAAGCAAAGGAAACAACCAACAGACTGAAAAGACAACCTACAGAATAGAAAAAACATTTTTTCCAGTTACTACTCAAAGTATATATTAGTCTATTAATATTCAGAATATATAAAAAACTAAAAAAATTAGATCCTCCAAATTTAAAGACCCAATTTTAAAAATGGGCATCTGAAATGAATAGACACTGATCAGATGAAGGGAGTACAAATGGCCAATAAATCCATGAAAAAACATTCAACATCGCTGACAGTTAGACAAATGCAAACTAAAACACTGATTTCATCCTACTCCAAGAATGGCCATCATCAAGAAATCAAAGAATAACAAATACTAGAGGAGCCATGGGAAAAAGGAACACTTCATTGTTGGTGGGAGTGTAAACTGGTACAACCCCTGTGGAAATCAGTATTGAGATTCCTCAAAAAAACTAAAAGTAGAAATTCCTTTGGACCCAGCAGTTCCCCTTCTAGATATCTTCCCCAAGTAGTTAAAGTCATCATATTACAGTGATACACACATACCCATGTTTATAGCAGCACAATTCATAATAGCTATATCTTGAAAGCAGCATATGTGTCCATCAGCAGATGAAAGGATAAAGTGTGGTATTTATATACAATGGAGTACAACTCTGCCATAAAGAAGGATACATTCTTTTTTTTCTTTTCAGAACCAGGAATCAAACTCAGGACTTGGTGTTTGCAAAGTAGGCGTGGCACCACTTAACTAAATCCCTGGCTCCAAAGAAGGATAAATTTGCATCATTTTTGTAGGAAAATAGATGGTATTTGAGACCAAATGAAGTAAAAAAGATACTCAAGCTTAAATGTTGAATGGTTTCTCTTATGAGAGAAACCCAGTATATAAAGAGTATTAGAGAAACCATTTGATATTTAAGCTTCTAGCATTATATTTGCTCTATAATGACATGAATAATACAAGATATCTTTGGAAAAAGTACACCACCTGCTATAGAATATGCCTGTTCTGAACTTGGGGGAATTTAGTCATTAGGACAGAGAATCTGGCAGAGAGATTTCCCTGGAATCTATACTACCTTTGATGCCTACCAATGATCTAGACAGTGCAGCCAATCATGGAAGCACTCAGAGATGCAACAAGGAGGTGTGCCTTTGCCCTGGTTTCTAAAGCATAAACCGCCATCATCCCTGATGACTTTGTATTCTTTGTTGGACTTTTTGTGGAAGAGGCTATGAAAGGTATCTTAGAATAAGGGTGGCAAGTGGACTCTACCACAAGAATGGTTCCCCAGAAAGCCAGCTGTTGGGGGGCTCTGGATGTTTCCTTTAGCAGAATTATTCCCTTATGAGAGCCTACCCGAGTTCTGCAGATTCCCAACAAGCAGCAGTAAGCCACGCTGACCAACTGTAGGAAGCAAGGAAAAGGGATGTTATTAAAACCTCTGCAGTAAGTCCTAGTCTCCTGTCAGCCACAACAGCACAAAGTGAATTAATTAGTATTTAGACAGAAAATGAGACTTAGAGAAGAAGCTGAGCTTTGGGCCTGATCAGTGCTGCACTGGGCAGCAAAGATGAAAGACCCCTGAGCTTGTCAAACTTTCGTACACTGGAAATAACAAATGTAACAGGTGACTTGGCAGCAGAGGCGATAATCCTAGAGCAATGAAGAACCATGCAGGTGAAGATTTTGTTCCTCCCCAGGATGTCTTCAGCTGGTGGAATCCTGTCCTGGGACATCATTGTACCTTTGAAGTTTCAGCTGTGACCAGAGGTGAAAATGGAGTTATGTTTCAACATGCCATAGCCGGCCTGTAGGCAGGAAAACTACGCCTAATTGTGAAGTGAATTATTTCCAAAATTATGTAGAATTGCTCTTGACAACCAGCTATGTGGATTTTCTTGTAAACTAACTTAACTGTGACTTCAAAATCCACATTCAGAATCCTGTACACTGACAAATAGAGAAATGTGAAATTTTTATTTTTAATTTACTGGATGGATTATGCACTTCAGCATTCCTTAAAAAATATGTGTTAAAATGCATTTTTAATATGAAGTATATTATATATATTTTGTCCTTAAACATTACGCTGAATTGTTGAGGCAATTCTTTTTGTTGTTGTTGTTGAGTTTATTGGCACTTTTTATGTATACAGTACAGCTACATCCATCATTGGGATCTTGTACCTACATGACAGGTCATAGTTCTCATTTTTCCCCTTATCCCTGCCCTCCCTTCTCTATTTTTCCTCCTTTCTAGTTCTTGTTTTTGTTTTGATTAGTATTTTCTTGATTGTTTGAACGCAGTTTATCAGTTTTTGTTGTTGTTGCTCTATTCTGTTCTTTTTTTTACTTTTCTATTTCCCAACTGTCTTCTTCACCAGTTTCCTAAAGTCTGTCTTCTAGCCTTGCTCCTGATCTATTCCTCTTCTTCTATTTCTGTTTTTTTACCCCCAACCCCATTTATTTGTTTGTTTGTCTTTTGGTACCAGGGATTGAACTTGGGTCCTTGTGCTTGTGAGGCAGGCAGCAGAACCACTAAGCTAAATCCCCATCCCTACCAACTTCATTTAAACCTTCTCCCCTAAGGGTAAAAATGCCATATGGAGGGCTACAATTTGTCATTTTTCTAAGCTGTATTTGATACTATTATTATTGTTGATTGTATAATTTTAGCCAAGATGACATAATTATGCTAATTAGTTGTTCCTCCTGGTGTACCAAGACTGAGATTCTCTAAGGGACTTAAAAAAAAAAAAACCCTATAGGCCAATGCCAAATAATTGGCAGCTGGGCCAAGTAGGCAGAAACTTCTCATTCCCAATAAATTGAAGAGGTAGACTCAAAACCCAAAGGCTAGTTACACCTGGAAGATACTTCTGAGAAACAGTCATTTTGTAAGGGTTCTGAATACTGGCTTCTTAAAGCTTCTCACCATATGCAATTTACAAGTATCAACTCAGGAATAATGAAAAGAAAATGATAAGATACTTAAACAAGATGCAACCCCCACAGATTTTCACCTCACCAAAGGCAAACTCGAGGGGCAAGGAAGTGGAACAATCCAAAAGCCACCCACCTAGACTCTCTGAAATGGTAACACTAGAACTAACAAGCAGATGAATGAGGCTCTAGAAAAATCAAAGCAGAAATAACTTCCTAGATAACTACAGAGATGGTGACCAGAATGAAACATAGAGATTAAACAACAACAAAAAAAAAATAGAGAAGCTCAGGAACATGATAGGAACCATGAATGCCCACCATAGGAAAAATGTAGTTTATGAAACAGATTCAAATAGATATCCAATAGATTAAAAACTCCATTGAAAGTATAAACAGCAGAATGAGCAAAGATGATAATGGAATATCAGATATAGAACATAGGATTGAGGTTATCAATCATGAAAAGGGAGATTTCTTAAAAATAGCAAGGGAGGGCTAGGGATTTAGCTCAGTGATTTCACTGCCTGCCTTGCAAGTGCTATTTCCCAAGTTTGATAGTACAAAAAAAAATAAAAATAAACAAACAAAAACTAGCAAGGGACCATGAGAAACCAATCCAGCAGCTTCTAAATAATGTAAGAAAAGAATAACATAAGATGGATTGGAGTCAATGAAAAAGCAGGACAGAGTGCAAATGACATAAAAAAACCTGTTCTCAGAAGTAATGACAGAAAACTTCCCAACTAGGGAAAGAGAATTTGACATACAGATAAGTGAGGCATATAGTTCTCCAATTATCCATGATTAAAAAGAAATATTTCCCAAGGCATATAATAGTCAAGATTCCAGAAATTATACACAAGGACAGAATATTAAAAGCTGTTAGAGAAAAGAAACAAATCACCTATAAAGGAAAGAATCACAGAATCACAGCAGACTTCTCAGCACAAACTCTCAAGTCAAGGAGAGCTTGGAGTGAAGTATTTCAAGCCCTGAAGGAAAACATCCTCCAACCCAGATTGATGTACTCTGTAAAACTATCTTTCAAAATTGATGGAGAAATAAGGTATTTCCATGACAAAGAACAGCTGAAGAAATGCATGACCATCAAACCAGCACTCCAAAGTGTTCTGAAGAATATTCTGGAAGGAGACAATATGGATTACAACTCCATGAACCCCAACAGAATGAATCCACCTGGCAAGGCAAGAAATTAAACAGAAAAGGAAAGGAAGCCAACAGCAGGAAAATAACAAGACAGAAATAATATAATACATATCAGTTATAACCATCAATGTTAGTGGTCTCAACTCAACAATCAAAAGAAACAGATTGGCAGAATGGATCAAGAAGCAAGATCCAACAATATGCTGCAAACATAATCTCCATATAGAACAGCTTAAGGTCTTCCAGCTCTACGTTTTTAGCTGGCATTTCTGAACCTTTCCAAACTTTTCTTCTTCCTACTAGCCAGTTCCAAAGGCTCTTGAGCCACGTGGCCAGGTAATGTCAGCAATGATTCCACTTTTGGTACCAAATTTTTACTTTTTTCATTGCTGAGACAAAATACCTGACACCCAAAGTTAAAAGAGTAAGGGTTTATTTGGCTTATACTTCACAGAGGTTTCAGACCATAATTGGCTGGTTCCAAGGCAGAGTGGCAGAGAAGCAATAGTTCATGGCAGCAGAAGACAGCAAAAGCAACAAGGGACCTTAACAGTGTCTTTCTGCCCCTTTTATCCCATCCAGACTACTAGGTAGGGTGGTGCCAAACCAATCACTCATGTGTACTGGTTTAGGAACAACATGTCTTTAAGCTCAGCATCACACACTCTAGATTTAGCCACCTTTGAAAAAAGAATCCCGCCTCATCCACATGAGGCTTCGGGGAGACATCTAAACACAAATCATAACATATTGTATAACATAATATAAATCACTCTCTGTTGTACATGACGACATTAGATTATTACCCTTGACTGTAAAACTGTTTCAAAAGTGTCTTTGTGTTTTCTAGTCTTTTTTAATCACCTATATTAAAGTGTCAACTTTATCTTTTTTGTAGATTATTAAATTTAGAGATTGAATAGACTATGAAGATATTTAACTTATTTTGCTTTTACCTAACATACAGTTAAGCAACAGTATAAATTCTAGAATTGTAAGCATAGTAACTGTCGAGATCTTTCTTCTCAAGTTTCATTAATATTTGAAAATATTTTGTAGTGTTTTAGATCAAAATTATATTCATCAGAAACTTGGATGTATTGAGACCTTCAAGAAGAGTGTAATGAGGATCTGTGGTATTGTACAGTGGCAGAGCACCTGGCCAGCATGAATGAATGAATGAATGAGCTCAGTCCCCAAGGTGTGCACACACACACAAAGAATTTAAGCAAAAAAAGGGAAAATCAACATAAAAGATGGGCCAGTGATTTAGCTTAGTGATTCCGCCACTTGCCTCGCAAGTATAAGGTTCCAAGTTCTACCCCTGTTACCAAAAATAAATAAATAAAATTCCCTTCTTAAAAAAAAAAGACAAAAGAAAAGCATGCCGTTCCTAGTAATGATACAACAATGGTGGCTTTCCAAGTAACAGACCTCTATATCAGTTGCATAATGGTGCATTATTCATGATGTCTCTTTATTTCCATAGAAACACTGAGGTCACTTTAATATTTAATTACACTGACTAGAGTTTACAGTTCCATAAATTTTAACTGTAGTGCTAAGCACAGATGCTAGTAAACCTTTTCTCATTCACACTTTAAAAAAATAAAGGAAGTCAGATATGGTGACATACATCTATAATCCCAATAATTTGGGATGAGGCAGGATTGCAAATTCAATTCTGTCCTGAACAATTTAATGAGACCTTTTCTCAAAATAAAATATAGAAAGGGCTGGGGAGTGTAACTTAACGTGAAGGCCGTGGATTCAATCTTGAGTATAAATGACTGAATGAATGAGGAAAGATGGTTAAAATAACTACAAATTTTACCTGGTTATACCTTTAACTATATATTGATTATTTTTATTTTCTCCTTAACCTATTCTGCAATTTTACATCCAATTAATTCCTCTAATTTTGTCAACCCTTCAGCTAAATGTATTTTCACAGGAAGTAAACTATTATAGAAAATGTAGCAATAGTTTCTGGTAGGATACATAGTTTGTGAGATAAATGAAGTCACTGGGAGTAATAGAAGCAGAGAGCTAGCTCTGCCACTTAACTGAGTAGTCTTGAGAGAATCATTGCACTTCTCTGACTCTCCCTTTTCTTCACCTGTAGCCTGAAGATGTGAAGATGGATGATTTAAGGATCCTTCTCTGAAATGTCTTGGCTTTATGGAGCCCATAATTTATGGACACTGCCCACATGATTCCGAGAAGGTGAGCATTTGTCAGTAGAGACATCCAGATCAATTACAAAGCTATTAAATGGAACAAATAATTCACAAAGTAAGTCTGATGTAGATTTTAGTAGTAGGAAATCTATTTTCCCTTTTTCTGGATCATTAGATTTCCTGATATACAAGTTTTACAATTTCACTGTTTCTATTTGATCATAGTAATTTTCAGAATGCAAGAGGCAAAGGGAAAGGAACTGATTTATTGATTACTGTTTATGCATTGTGTTTTTACATAATTATCTTGCAATATTTACAACAATGTTATGAACAGCAGTTACTATTCTTATTTTATAAATGGAGAAACTGCAGCCACGAATAGTGGCATGTGCCTGTAGTCTCAACATTTGGAAGACCAAAGTAGGCAGATCCCTTGAGGGCAGGAGTTTGAGGCTAGCCTAGGCAATATAGTGAGACCTCATCAAATGGAATCTCCAAGAAGATAATTCAGTCAATTGCCATTAAACATTTGAAGATATAATTTAGTATCACTTTGAACTTCAATGTGAACTGATGTTTCTCTTTATTTGTATTTTCTAGTTATCTATATTAGTAGTTTCTTACCTATTAATTAGAGCCCCCCACGGGTATGTAGAGTAACTGCAGAGAGAACTGAGAATCATTGTAACTAATTAAATATAATTTGCATATATACGTGACTGTTCAAAGCCATTAATAAAAATATGTATGAATTTTAAAGTATTACTAGTTTCATAGAATTTGCTTTTTTGTTTGGAACGTCTTAAAGAAATATTTTGAACTCGGTGGTGTTGCACACCTGTGATCCCAGCACTCTGGAGGCTGAGGCAAGAGGCTCCCAGCAACTGTGAGGCCCAGCTCCTCCTCCAATGAGAACAGCCTGGTTCATGCCAGGAAAACCTTCCACAGCAAACTTCTCCTAGATCTCCCCTCCACTTCTCTTTCTGTGACTTTTGACAACAATCCTCAGGTGGATCCTCCACTCCCAGACCACACAGATTCAGTTCAGTTGTGTGTTACAAATTGACCATTAGTCCACCGCAAATACTTTACACTGTGTCGCACAGTTTGCAGAACAATTTTACTGTACCACACACTGTATTTCATTTGAGCCTTACATTTCCATGAAATAGGTGGGATTTGTTAATCATTTTATTTCAAAGTATACACAAATTTCAAAATATACACACATTTTGATCAACTTTTCTTCAGAAAATTTTTATGATATACCCAAATATAAATACTATTTTTCTATCTTTTGCTGAAAATACTAAATTAAGGGGAATAACTGACATCTTTTTTTTAATTACATATTTAATAACTTGGAATTAAAATGATACAGATGGAGTCACTGGAGGTAGTTTTCTGATACTTAGTTGAGTAATTTTTATATATGAGATTATCTAAGCCTTAATCATAGAATTCTTAAATTTCTGTAGTTACCCTAGCTTGCAATAAATCTGCTGGCAAAGGGTCCTAAAGCATTTGCTTTCAAGAAGAAATAAGCAGAAATGTACTGTGTCCCTTGTTATAAGAGGAATTATATTCACCTATAAAACATTACATGAACTTTGGTCATAGACATGAGATTAAATGTAGTGAATGCTTAATTATTTATTTCTTCAGTACGTGGAGTCTACAGTAAACACCATAGTATTTCAAAAAGTCATTTTAAAAAGTACCTAATGACTTGCTACCTAGCAACATGGACTTTTTTTTTTTTTTAGACAGAGCCTCACTATGTAGTTCAAACTAATCTTGAACTCACTATATTCCCCAGCCTGGCCTCAAACTTGCAGCAACCCTCCTGCCTCAGCCTCCCAAGTATCTCCATACTTGGCCAACATAGACTTTAACTTTCCTGATTTTCGCCAAGCAGCATTTAAACTATCAATGCTGGAAAGTAAAGATGTTTGTCGCTTCATATATGTTCACTTAGTTCCAAAAAATGATAATAGCTAGTATTAAGTGAGTGCCAGATACTTTGTATTTATCAAGTAATCCTCACAACTGTCCTAGATGCTGTATAATTATCCCAATTTAATGGGAAAAAAACCCTGAAATATTAAATACCTTGCCCAAGACCATATATTCAAGGAAGAAAAGAACATAAAATCTAAACTTTTACTCCAAAGTCTGTTTTACAATCAGATTTAATTCTTTTAACAATTTATGAGCCAGGTATGGTAATGCATGTCTGTAATCCCAGCACTCCACAGACTGAGGCAGGGGGATGGCTGTGAGTTGAGGCCAGTTTGGGCTGCATAATGAGATAGTGAGTTCAAGGCCAGCTGGCACTACATAGCAAACCTTGTCACAAAAAAAGCAAACCAAACAAACAAAATCAATTTATGAATTTATCAATTTATGTCAAAATTCATCGTAAAGGTCATACTTCCTCCCAACCTAGAGAATTCATATAAGGGACTATGGAATATAGATTAATATATTAACATGGGAACTAGTCTGTTTTATCCAAAGTAGCATCAGTGTTTCTCTTTCTTTCCTTCTGGGTTTTCTTTTTTTTTTTTGTACTGGGGATTGAATTCCAGTCCTTGTGCTTGTGAGGCAGGTGGTGGAGCCACTGAGCTAAATCCCCAGCCCAGAATTATTTTCAACTCACCTTTTAAGATTCCTTGCAACAAAACATTTAAAGATGTTATAAAGATGTAATTAAACATAGAACCACACTTATTATTTCTAATATCTATCTATACATAACTGAAGATTTCATGCATGTATAACCTTAAATAATGGTAGTTTTATTTCTCTTCATTTCCTAAGCTTCTAATTTTTTTCTTCGCATTTGCACTGGATCCAACAAAATGTCAAATAGGAATGATAATGGACATTCTTGGTTTGTTCTGGATTTTTAAAGGAATTTTTCTAAAGCTATTCCTATTGAGAATAATGTTAAATCTTTCAGTTAGAATCTCAACCTGCAAAAATATTAAAACTAGACCCTTCTCTGCAACCAGGCACTAAATTAAAATCCAAGCAGATTAAAGACCTAAATATAAAAAAAGAAACACTAAACTTGCTGGAAGATAAGTTAGGCAGAGCTCTGGAAGACATTGGCATAGGAAAAGACTTTATGAACAAATCCTCAGTAGCACAGGAACTAGCAGAAAGAATCAACTGGGATCTCATCTTATTAAAAAGCTTCTGCACTGCAAAAGAAACCATCAACAGAACTAAGAGACAACCTACAATGTGGGAAAAACTTTTTACCAGCTGCTCCTCAGACAAAGGACTATTGTCTAAAATATATAAAGAACTCAAAACAGCCAGCGCCCCCAAATATAAAGACCCAATTCTAAAATGGGCATCTGAAATGAACAGACATTTATCAGACAAAGAAAAAAAAGCAGCAAGTAAATATATGAAAAAATGCTCCACATCACTGGTCATTCGAGAGATGCAGATGAAAACAACTCTGAGATTTCACCTCACCCCACAAAGAATGGCTGCTATCAAGAAATCACACAACAACAAATGTTGGAGCAGTTGTGGGGAGAAACCCTTCTCCATTGTTGGTGGGAGTGCAGACTGGTGCAACCACTATGGAAGTCAATATGGAGATACCTCAAAGGACTAGGATTAGAGGTTCCATTTGACCCAGCCATCCCTCTGCTGGGTATCTTTCCAAAAGGATTGAAAGAATCATATCACAGTGATATATGGACACCCATATTCATAGCAGCACAGTTTGTAATAGCTAAAACTTGGAAACAGCCCATTTACCCATCAATTGGAAACTGGATAAAGAAGATGTGGTTGTTCTATAAAATGGAATACTACTTAGCCATAAAGAATGAGAAAGTAGAATCATTCATAGGTAAATGGGTACATTTTGAGGATATACTCCTAAGTGAAATAAATAAGTCACACATATGCAAATACCGAATAGTTTCTCCAGTGTGAAAAACTAAAATAGTACTCACGACCCTAACAGGGCAATTAGCAATGTGAAATAGGAAGAAAAGGACCAAAAGTGTAGGGACAGTGAGAAGGATAGGAAAAGGGGAATAAGGGAAAAGGAAAAAAATATGAGAAAATGTAAAAATGGAATTAAAGTGTTTAGGTGGGGAGTGAGAACCAAGACCTGGCTTGTAAAGGTACAAGATCCCAGTAATGAATGTAACTGTACTGTCTACCTAGAATGTACCAATAAATTCAATTAAAAAAAATCTTTCAGTTAATACTTATCAAGTCTGGAAAATTGCCTACTATTTTAATATGCTGAGTTTTTCATTTTGAATGAGGATTGAATTTTATTATATAATTTCTGTGCATATATTAAGATAATTGAGCATTTCTAGTTTTTCTATTAATGTGCAGAGTTACATTAGGTTTTATTAAATAACCCTGGGATAAGTGCAACTTTGTTAGGTTATGTTTTTGACATAATGGTTTTCATTTCTTAAAATATCTTTGCTTTTGGAATTGGAATTAAACTGGTATCATCTTTTATCGAATGTGTATAGAAGTATTCTTTTTTTTTCTATTATGTGGAATGTAATTCTTTGTTGGTGATATTTGAAATACAGTCCTTTAAAAATATTTTGCTTGTTCTGCTTGTTTCAATATAGAAATAAAATTGATGACAGAGATTTTAGTCTGTTTGCTTCATTGCTCTATTTTTTGTGGGGTGTACCTGGGATCAAACTCAGGACCTCACACTTGTAAGGCAGGCGTAGTACAACTGAGCTAAATCCCTGGCCTTGCTGTATTCTTAGTCCCTACAACTTTGCATACAGATAGTAGGATCTCTACTGTGTTTTCAAATGAATGCATAAATATTCTCTTCACCAAATTGGTAATTATGTTTTATAACTTTTTAAAAAATACCTATTGCAGGAGAGACAGCTAGTTGCTTAGCTAATACCCATTTCCTACATTTTTCTACTAAAAGATTATTTGTTGCTTTTGATGGCAATGTGACCAGCTGAAGCTCTATACTTCTTGGTCATTATGGAAGGTAACAGTGACCAATGAGATACAAGTTAAAAATCACTGAATTTCTACAAAACGTCTTTAAAGATATCCTCCTTTAAAACCAGGAAGCAAATTCCTTTTCCCTTTTTGCTTCTTTAGTCTGCCGGGAATTCAGATGTTAACACTAGATCTGAAGTAGCAATTGGGACCAGGAGGAAAAGCCCAAGACAATTACATCCTTCTATGGACCACTGAAAAAATGCCACACCAAATCCCAAAGTAACACCTGTCCCTAGACTTCAGGTTATTTAGAAGAAAATAAACCTCTGACTTTTTTAATACCACTATTTTAGGCTTTCTCTGTTTCAGTAGGCAAATATAATTCCTACCTGATACCCTTGATCAAGAGAGTGTAGTGCAAGCTATGCTATGTGACTCTAAGAGTACATTACAAGAAGGCCAGGCCCTTCCATTTTGCTTTCTTGGAATGCTAGCTTTTGAAACCCAGCAACCATGCTGTGTATAAGGAAAGCTATACTATCCCATTTAGATAGACCAAGTTTGAAAGCAAGAGGTAGGTGTTTGATGTTGACAGTGTAGCTGAAGTCCCAGTCAACAGCCAGCATCAACTGTGTCCCTCAGCCAATGAGTCACCATCAGCCTTTGAATCTTCCTGCATTGTAGAGCAGAGGTAAGTCATCCTTTCTTTGCCCTGCCCAAATTTCTAGTCCGCAGAATGAGCAAGCACAATAAAATAGCATTTTTCATACTAAGTTTTAAGGTGGTTTATTTTACAATAATATTATTTGTTTGTTTGTTTTTTCCAGTACCGGGGATTGAACTCAGGACCTTCTGCTTACAAGGCAGATGCAGTGCCACAGAGCTAAATCCCTGACCCTACAATAATATTATTTAGAATAAGAAAACTATGGGAACCCTAAGAAGAATGTTGTGATAGATACAACTGCGTAGTTTTTAGTCTTTGAGGATACTGATATTATAAAGAGATACAAACCAAATTCATTTATCCTCATGATGGTGGGGTAGGGCATCATGGCACAAATTTTACGCAAATTTTTTTCTTTTATAAATCTTGTGGTACTATATTGCTGTAAGAAATGTTTCCTTAGCCAGATGTGCTGGTGCAAGCCTGTAATCCCAGCACTCAGGAAGTTGAGGCAGGAGGATGGTGGCTAGCCTAGGCTACAATAGTGAGTTCAAGGCCGGCCTGAAACTACATAGTAAGACCCTATTTCAGAAAACAAAATAAAACAAAAAAGAAATGTTTCTTGTTGCATAAAAAGTAAAGAGATGGCAGAAACTACATTAGCCTAAATTAGGGCAAGTGACCATCAAGAAAGCTGCTTTTTTTTTGTTACTTCTTTAGGATAAGAAATGTCTTCTAATCTCAAAATTTTCTTTTCCTCAAATGTAGTAAAAAGACAAGAATTTTAAAAGAGGAAATGATAATTTTAAATAAAAATTTTGTGTAATTTTTTTTCTTCTTGATTAAAGAAATTTTCTCTATTGTAGATTGTGGAAGTCTTAACTTTTAATTAACTACCCAGTGACTATGGGAAATTCATTATAGATGAAAGTAAAGTGGTTTTCTTTCATGTTCAACTTCATTTTAATTACTGTATTCTGTGTGTATGTGATTTATGCGTTGCTTTGGGCAAGATATCACAAGGTTTAAGACAACAAATATAGTTTTTAATCTTGTTACATCCCTGCTTTAAAACCTCTAATTTTACATAGAATTAAATCTGAACTATCAAGCCAGTATTTAGGGAGCCACTGTGAACTGGTTGCAACCTATATCCTCCCAACCTGATCTTGTTGCTTTTACCCCAGTAGACTAGTCAGATAAGTCATGGTCTCTTCAAAATGCAGAGGAGAATTTCCTCAGGAGCCAAGATTTTATCTAAGGCACCTCTACCCCCGAATTTTCCCTTTTTTCTGGAGGCTAGAATTCTACTATTCTTTTGAGGCTTTGTTCAGCTATACTCTCCAATAGAAACTTTTCAAACATAGTGGTTCCTTGGTGGTCTTTCTGTGCAACTCTCCCTGTTAAATCTTCTCCTCTTTGAATAATCCCCTCTTTTTGTTTTCTATCTTTATCTTATGCTTCATATCTTCTTCTCAAGAGCTGCCTATTCAAGAGGTTGTTAGAATATGACTAACTGGTATAATTTTGCTTCTCTCTTTTAACTAGTTAGCTCTGTGACCTTTTGTGCCAGTTATTCAAACTTTCTGACTCAGTTTTCTAACCTATAAAATAAAGAGGATTCCATCAGCTTTGAGATAAAAGCTATAAAGCACATGCTACCATGTACATAGTAGGTGTTTCACAGATGATTGTTACATATGCTTGATTTTTAGCTCCTATTCCACTGGTATTCACCAATAGGCAGTCTTTTGTTAGTAAATTTGCACTTTTAGAACTAGATCACGTTCTTGAAGTTCTTATTATATCATCAAATAAGCTGGATCTATTTTGCCTGTCTCAGGGATCCTAAAAACCATCTTATATGACTGCAATATTCTGGCAGCAGAGATTCTAAACTAGAATTATCAATTGGGAAGAATCTGCAACCCCTACTCAGGGATATTTGGCCATATCTGTAGACATTTCTTTCTGATTGTTACAAATTGAAGATGCGACTGGCATTTACCCAATAGAAATTGGCAATGCCCATTCTACACTGCCAAGGACAGCTCCCCGCAACAAAGATGTTGCCAACGCAAAATGTCAATAATGCTGTTCTAAATTCATCAATCTATAGACTTTGAAAAGACAGCACAATTTGATTAAAAAATAAAAAAGCCTAAAGCCCGGGTCCTGATGGATTCACTGCTGAATTTTACAAGACATTTAGAGAAGAACTACTACCATTACTCTTCAAACTTTTCAATGAAATTGAAAGGGAAGCTATACTTCCAAATTCATTCCTGGAAGCAAGTATCACTTTGATTCCCAAACCAGGGAAAGATACAACCAAAAAGGAGAACTACAGACCAATCTCCTTAATGAATATAGATGCAAAAAGCCTT